ATAATTACCATAAATTGAACAACCTGCTCCTGAATCACCTTTGAATAAATAATGAATTAAGGCAGAAATCAAGAAGTTCTTTGAAACTAATGTGGAACTAAGATACAATGTACCAGAATCTCTGGGATGAAAGTAAAGCAGTTTTAAGAGGGAAAATTATAGCACTAAATGTCCACATCAAAAATCTAGAAAGATCTCAAATTAACAACCTAACATCACAACTAAAACAACTAGAGAACCAAGAGCAAATAAACCCCAAAGCTGGCAGAACACAAGAAATAAACAAGACAAGAGCAGAACTGAAGGAGATAGATACACGAAAAACCCTTCAAAAGATTCAAAAATCCAGGAGCTGAATTTTTGAAAAAAAAAATTAATAAAATAGATGGACCATTAGCCAGACTAATAAAGAAGAAAAGAGAGAAGATTCAAATGAACACAATCAGAAATTATAAGGGGGATATTACTACTGACCCCACAGAAATAGAAACAACCATCAGAGAATATTATGAACACCTCTGTGGACATAAACTAGAAAATCTAGAAGAAACGGATATATTCCTGGACATCTGCACACTTACAAGACTGAACCAGGAAGAAATTGAATCCAAGAATAGACAAGTAATGAGTTCTAAAATTGAGGCAGTAATAAATACCCTACCAACCAAAAAAGGCTTAGGACCAGATTCACAGTTGAATTCTACCAGAGGTATCAAAAAAAAAAAAAAGGGACTCCTTTCTAACTCATTCTACAAGGCCAGCATCATTCTGATACTGAAACCTGACAGAGATACAACAAAAATGAATAAAATTTTAGACCAATATTCTTAATAAACAAACATCAATGCAAAAATCCTCCACAAAATACTGGCAAACTGAATCCAGTAGTACATCTTAAAGTTTATTCACCACTATCAAATAGGCTTCAACCCCAAGATGTAAGGTTGGTTAAATATAGGCAAATCAAAAAATGTGGTTCCTCACATAAACAGAACTGAAGACAAAAAATACATAATTATCTCAATAGATGCAGAAAAGGCCCTTTGATAAAGTTCAACATTCTTTCATGTTAAAAACTCTCAATAAACTAAGTATTGAAGAATCATGCCTTAAAATAATAAGAGCAACATATGACAAATCCATAGTCAATATTGCACTGAATGGATAAAACTTGGAAGCATTCACCTTGAAAACTGTCACAAGACAAGGTTGTTCTCTCTCACCACTCCGATTCAACAAAAGATTAAAAGTTCTGGCCAGGGCAATCAGGCAAGAGAAAGAAATAAAGGTATTCAAATAGGAAGAGAGGAAGTCAAACTATCATTGTCTGCAGATGATATGATATATCTAGAAAACCCATTGTCTCAGCCCAAAAGCTTCTTAAGCTGATAAGCAAATTCAGCAAAGTCTCAGTATATAAAAGCAATGTGCAACAATCACTAGCATTCCTATACATCAACAGGCAAGCCTAGAGCCAATACATGAATGCACTTCCATGCACAGTTGCCACAAAAAGAATAATATAACTAGGATTAGATTACAGCTAACCAGGAAGGTGAAAGATCTCCACAAGGAGAACTACAAAACACTTCTCAAAGAAATCAGAGATGATAAAAACAAATGGAAAGACATTCCATGTTCATGGATAGGAAGAACCAATATCACTAAAATGGCCATACCACTCAAAGCAATTTATAGATTCAATGCTATTCCTATCCTTAGATTCTTCACAGAACTAGGAAAAACTATTTTAAAATTCATAATGGAACTAAAAAAGGGCCTGAATAGCCAAGGCAATCCCAAGAAAAAAGATCAAAGCTGGAGCCACCATGCTACCCTACTTCAAACTATGCTACAGGAATATGCTCACCAAAAAAGCATGGTACTGGTACAAGAACAGACACATAAACAAATGCAAAAGAATAGAGAATCTAGAAATAAGACCACACACCTACAGCAATCTGATCTTCCACAAACCTGAGAAAAACAAGCAACAGGGAAAGGATTCTTTATTTAATAAGTAGTGTTAAGAGAACTGGTTAGCCATATGCAGAAAACTGAAACTGAACTCCTTCCTTACATCATATACAAAAATCAATTCAAGATGGATTAAAGAGTTAAATGTAAAACTCCAAACTATGAAATACCTGGAAGAATACCTAGGAAATACTATACACGACATAGGCAAAGGCAAAGATTTTATGATGAAGACATAAAAAATAATTGCAACAAAAGCACAAATTGACATAAGATCTAATTGAACTAATGAGCTTCTGCCCAGCCAAAGAAATTATTAAGAGTGTAAATGGGCAACCTGCAGAATGAATGTTTTTACAATTTAAGTATCTGACAAAGGTCTAATATCCAGCATCTACAAGGAACTTAAACATATTTGCAAGGAAAAAAACCCATTAAAAAATGGACAAAGGACATGAACAGACACTTCTCAAATGCAGACATAGATGCAGCCAATAAACCATATGGAAAAACCCTTGACATAACTGATCATTAGAAAAATGCAAATCAAAACCAAAATGAAATACTATCTCACACCAGTCAGAATGGCTTTTATTAAAAGGTCACAAAAATGCCAGATGCTGGTGAGGTTGTGGAGAAAAAGGAACACTTATATGCTGTTGGTGGGAGTGTAAATTAGTTCAACTATTGTGGAAGATAGTGTGGTGATTCCTTAAAGACTTAGAGGCAGAAATACCATTCGACCCAGCAATCCCATTATTGTGTATCTCCCCAAAGGAATGTAAATAGTTCTATTATAAAGATACATGCACACGTATGTTCACAATAGCAGCATTATTCACAATAGCAAAGGCATGGGATCAACCTAAATGCTCATCAATGATAGACTGGATAAAGAAAATATGGTATGTATTTACCATGAATACTATATAACCATAAAAAGGAATGGGATCTTGGATGGAGCTGGAGGCCATTATCCTCAGCAAACTAACACAGGACCAGAAAACCAAATACTGCATGTTCTCACTTATAAATGGGAGCTAAATGATGAGAATACATGGACACATGGCAGGGAAAAACACACACTGGGGCTTCTCAGAGAGTGGTTGGTGAAAAGAGGGAGAGGGTCAGGAAGAGTAGATAATGGATGCTGGGCGTAATACCTGGGTGATGGCATGACCTGCACACATTTACCTATGTAACAAATCTGCACATCCTGCACCTCTGCACTGAAAAGGTAATATTTTTAAAAGAAAGAAGCATAAATAACGTGCTAATTTTAAAAAAGGAGTTAGCATTCCCATCCTCTTCCAGGTAAGCACCAAAAACTTCATGGAAAGGGTAACATTTCATATACATCTTGAAGAAAGTTATTTCAATTGCAAGTGATGGACAGATGAGTTGCAGTAGTGGGAGATTAAGAGAGCTATATGAACAAAAACATGCACCTGACAGTATCACATTTTCTAGAATTAAAAAAAATGAAAGCAGTAAGAAAAGGAAATCAGTAATGTTTCACTAATTATTGGAATGTGTTATGGATAAAAATGACTTTAAATGCATATGACCAAAGATCAAATGCTAAAAGATGCTAAAATGATATGATCTCATGGTGTCCATCAGGTAGCTTGGGAAGGTATGAAAATAAGCAAGAGTATGGGTATTTTGTGACTCAAAAGTATAGACGTCTCCTGGTAACTCACTTAGGCTGCAACACAGGTTCCATTAAGAGAATCATGGAGGAAGAGTCTCCAGAGTTAAACCAAAAAGTTTTTTTTTTTTTTTTTTTCAAAAGATCTCAAATAATTCAGAGTGAATAATTACCAGTTGAGTAATACATATGCATAGTATACAATCTGTACAGACATGTAAACAAACGTATCTGTATGTACACATTTAAATCTAGATACATGTACCACACGTATATAATCTGCTAGCAATGACAGTCCGTTAAAAGTTAATTAACTAGGATATGAATTAATTAGACTTATATGAGCAAATTATCTGGCAGCACCGTTTAGGAAATAAGAGACTGTAAAGGGATAAAGGAGATAGTAATTAGAGTCATGCAAAACAGACAGGTGAGTTGTTTTAGGTTGGGGACCTGGGTGATATCAGTAGGAATATAGATGAAGTTTTAGTGTTGAAAGAGGAAGGGCGGGTGACCTGAAGATAGATCACTCATAATACGACAAGAGGATGTAGTGTGATGGAAGCTAAAATTTAAGAACTTTTGAGCACAAAACATCCATATTCTTGCTTATTTTAATACCTTTCCCAGCCACCTACTGGACACTATGAGGTCATATCATTTTAGCATTATTTGATCTTTGATAATATGCATTAAAGTCATTTTTATCCATAACACTGTCCAATAATTATTGAAATATCACTGATTTCCTTTTCCTACAGCTTTCATTTCCTTTGTAGTTCTAGAAAAGAGATATCATTTACTTTCTGTTCTGCCATTTTTCTTCTGTACATCCATGCGAACTTAATTTTTAATTATCTGTTAGCTTTTTGAATTTGTTAGAAATGTGAATCTTTTCATGTTTTCCAGTATCATATAAATACAACTGTAAAAGGCCTTTGAAGACAACATAAAGAGAGGCAACTTGCCTCATCTTATTACTCATAGAAATGAACAGAGATAAAAGTACCCTCTTAGAATTTGGCCTTGCCTTGAAAGTTTTAATTCACTTCTCAGTTTATGATTGCATTTTCCCGTTCTATTTATTGCTTCAAGTGATATAGGAGTTAAAATTTTATAAGAAGTGAAATTCACCATTTCCCATTGTCTAGAGTAAAGGGCCTTTTGAGAGATAGCTGATTTCCTGAGATCTTTATCTGCTCAAACACAAACCTGCCACCACAATGCAGTTAAATGTGAGGTGTCTCCAGACTATATGATTTAATCAGTTGTATTGTATTTCCTACCCAAATACTTTTGAGAGGAACTACAGTAGTTTACCACTTAATGCATTTATTAAACCACATGAAGGGTATTTAAGCATGTGAATATTTTCATTTGTTTTCTGCTTTAATTATTCCAATATGACATGAACACCTGTTTAAAATTCCTTGTATACTTTTGAATAATACATCTAAATATTTTATGAAGTTTATTAGGTATAAAACCTTAAGTAATTAAAACGCTAAGACGATTATAACTACAAAAACTTTGAACACTTAACAAAACACAACCTTATCTAACCTGTGAAATTCTTTTTACTAAAAATGGGAGATATTGCTGTGAGATCTAAACATTTCTTTTTACCATTTTTGTGAATGAATCTATTACTTGCTTATTCCTCAGACTGTAGATAACAGGATTTAACAAAGGAATTATGATGGTATAAAACAGAGAATCTATCATATCTTGATCATCTGCTTGGGGAGATGCAGGGTGCACATACATAAAGAGAAGGGGGCCACAATATAAAGAGACAGATAAGAGATGAGCTCCACATGTGGAAAAGGCTTTCCTTATGCCTCTGACAGACTTCTTTTTTAGGATTGTATAAAGAGCAAATGTGTAAGAGTTAAGAACTGTCACAATGGTGAATACCTGAATTAAGCCAGACAAAATAAAAACCATTAGAAAATTAATAGAAGGGTCAGTACATGAAATCATAAACAATGGTATAATATCACAGTAAAAATGATGTATTATGTTGGAATTGCAGAAGGTTAATCTGAATATAAGGACTTCATGAATTAAGACATGCAGGAAGCCACCTAAAAATGACAAGACTAACAGCTGTATGCATAGTCTGTTGTTCATAATCACTGGATATAGTAAAGGTTTGCATATGGCTACATAGCGATCATATGCCATTGTTGCCAAGAGAAAACATTCTGTGGTTCCACCAAATGCAAAGGAAAAAAACTGAATCATGCATTCAGACAAAGATATCATCTTGTTTTTGGCCAAGAAATTAACCAACATTTTGGGAGTTACTGTGGAAGATATCCAAGCATCAACAAAGGCTAAACTCCCAAGAAGTAAGTACATGGGGATGTGAAGTTGTGGATTATTCCAGATAAGTACAATCAGACCAAGGTTCCACACAATAGTCATGAGATATATCACCAGGAACACCAAAAACAGGGTTATTTTCCACTCTGGTTGATATGTAAGTCCTGTGAGAACAAATTCTGTCAGCAATGTTGCATTATTCTGTTCCATGTCCTCATTAGATATCCCTGAAATAAAATGCAATAAATGTAAAAGAGCACTCACTAAGACTTATAAAGCAAATAGTGGGGAAGAGAAGTTGATATAAAAACATACTCTTATTGCAATACCCTTTTAATATTCTTTCATATTTCTGTAATAGATGGAAATTTTATTGGGAAATAGAAGAAATCAAAATAAATGCAATTATTTTAAATCTAAAAGTGTGATCAAATAATCTACTTGTAAATGCCTCACAGATGACAGGAATGCGTGTAATGTGTGTTAACTTAAGAAAATCACAATTTGCAAATTTAGAAAAGGAGAGAAGACTTATTTCTTATAAGGGGTTACAGTCTGCAAGATGGCCATCAAGTAGGCTTGGATGCATGCCTCTGGCCAAGACCAGAAACAGGCACTCCAAGGAAGAGGACTTGAAGTAGTAGCTTCAAGCTAAATAGGTTGGCTAAGTATACATATTCAACAGGTTACAAGATGATCGTCATGAATATTCATGAAGGTGGTCCTGGCACATGTATACTGAACAAACATGTATGTAACATACAACCCATGCTCACTTTAAAGTGGATATAACATTTAAATATATTACAGTTAGACCCTATACATCAAAAGGCCTTCTCAGGACGTGAAGGCACATAAATGCACTGTCTCTGTAAACCAGCCAGAACCAGTCCATGGCCAGTTTTCTTCTTACCTGGAGAAAGTTACTGAAATCAGTCTCCTGTCCAGTCAAAGTAGTGGTTATGTTTGTTAGCTAGGGTTCAGTTACTGTTACTGAGCATCTGATGCACCTACAAATGGTTTTAATCTTGCTTATCTTGAGGCCACTGCCTGTTTAGCTGCTAGAGAAAAAGAAAAACCTTGTGCCAGTTAGAACATACTTTATTCTTTAAGTGCAGAGGTGCCTGACTTAATCTTTGCCTGGTATGGCCTTAGGTTCTGTTTATAATTTGGAATCTTATTGTCACAAAGAGTATGTTCTGTCAGTCCTGTAATCTCTACCTTTATCATTAGTGCTGGTCAGTTGTTGTGTCTAAACTGCAAGAGTCAGTATAACAAGGCACATCTGACCTCCCACCCTGTTATGGCTGGGAACTAAATCATTAGCATTTAGCTGGAGACCTGTTGGCCAAGAGGAGGTTCATTTTATTGCCGGGGTCTTAGGATTTTATTTTAAGATTACAAGTACTTCATTCATGTGTAATATAATCTTGTAAATAATAAGGAGGATGAAGAAATAGATGATAAAGCATTCAGAATGTAGTGCCACTAGGACTTAGTCACATATTTGATAGAAAAGTAATATTCAGTGGAGGAAAAAGGAGTCACTTTGTGAGTAGGTAGATTATCATTCAAAATAGAGACTGAGAACTCAGATGCACTGACTTGAACATGTAGGTGAGATGTTTAGTATTAGTAATATAATTCTACTAGAGTGATAGAAATACTAATCTGGGAGTCATTGGAGTAGTTGAAGGCATAATAATGGATGTCTTACCTATTGGAGAGTATGTTAATAAAAGAAAAGCATAGCACCAAAAACACTTGATAGTGTAATGACCATTGGGTATATATTCAGTGGGATCTTTGGGTGAAATGGCAGCTTTGTTTCAAGATTTTGAGAAATCTCCAGGTTGCTTTCCACAGTGGCTGAACTAATGTATTTCCACCAACAGTCTGTAAATATTTCCTTTTCTTCACAGCCTCATCAGCATGTGTGGTTTTTTGACTTTTCAGTAATAGCCATTACGACTGATGTGAGATGGTATCTCATTGTGACTTTAATTTTCATTTCTCTGATGATTAATGTTGAGCATTTTTTTTTTCATGTGTGTTGACTGCCTGTATGTCTTCTTTGGAGAAGGATCTGTTCATGTCCTTTGCTTGTTAATGGGGTTAAATTTCTTTTTTGTTAAGTTCCTTGTAGATTCTGGATTTTATACCTTTATTGAATGCATATTTTGCTAAGATTTTCTTTCATTCTGTTGGTTGTCTGTGTGCTCTATTGATGGGTTTTTTTGCTGTGCAAAAGGTGTTTGGTTTAATCAGGTCACACTTGTCAATTTTTGTTTTCATTGCAATTGCTTTTGAGGACTTAGCCAAAAATTCTTCTCTAAGGCCAACGTTGAGAAGAGTATTTTCTGAGGTTTCTTCTAGGATTTTTACATTTCGAGGACTTAAATTTAAATATTTAATCCACTTTGAGTCAATTTTTGTATATGGTGAAAGAGAAGAGTTCAGTTGTATTCTTCCATATATGACTAGCCAGTTATCCCAGCACCGTTTACTGAATAAGGGATCCTTTCCCTGTTGCTTGTCAGCTTTGCTGAAGATATGATTATTGCAAGTGTGTGGCTTAATTTCTGAGTTTTCTACTCGGTTCCATTGGTCTATGTGTACTAATGCCATGCTGTTCAGTTGTTAAAGACACATCCACTCATATGTTCACTGATACACTATTCACAATGGCAAACACATGCAATCAATCTAGGTGTCCAGCAGGGGTGGATTGGATTTTTAAAATGTGGTACATATATAACATGGAATACTACACAGCCATAACAAATAATTAAATCGTGTGCTTTGCAGCAGCATGGATGCAGCTGGAGGCCACAATCCAAAGCAAACCAACACAGGAACAGAAAACCAAACACTACACGTTCTCATTTACAAGTGGAAGCTAAACACTGAACACACATGGACATAAACATGAGAACATAGACACTTTGGACTAGTAAATAAGAGAGAGAGGGGAAAATGGGTGAAAAAACTGTCTGTTGGGTACTATGTTGACTACCTGCATGCAATATACCCATGTAAGGAGCCTGTATAAATACTCTCTATATCTAAAATAAAAGTTGAATTTTTTTAAAAAAGAAAAAAAAACTTGAGAAGTTATATTGAAAGGTAATGTAGAGAATGGATATCATTTATTAGATGGCCAATATCTGATACTTTTTTCTCCAACATGGATCTTAGTGGCAGACAAATGATTTGACCTTGATATGCATAAATCAAACTCACCCCACCTACATTTGGATGTAGAGAGATGGAGACAAATATACATGGACAATAAAAAAAAATTAGTACAAAGACAGTTGAAAAATATCAAGAACTCAGCACATGCATCCTGCATTTAGAAAACAATGGTACAAATAATATAAGCTGTGTCACTGGCAGTTCAGCAGCAGAAATAACCACACTCATGAAGCTACTGTTGGAACAGGATTTTGGTTGTTGACTGGCTACCTTGCTTTCTTCTGTTCCTATCATTCAAAAGAGAGATGAAGGAGGGAACAGAAAAGGACATTAAGCAGAGGAATCAAGGTAAAGAGCAGGAGGAAAACTAGAGAGTTGAGAGTTGGGGACATAAAGAGAGAAAAGATACAAAGCATGGCAAAGGGAAGTACAGGGTCAAATACCAAAATAAATGCTGTAGTAGGACAAGAAGTGAAGGAAAATCACTGTGCTGAGAAAGTCCTTGACTTTTAGTGGCTTTAGGGAGAGCAGTCTCCCTTATGCAATAGAATCAAGGTCAGCAAATAAGTGAATGAGAAGCACATGGCAAAACAGTGAGGCGGTGAAACAGATGACTCTAGGAACCATGTTTGTCTGCTGCTCATAGACTAATTTAATATTTGTTCCTGTAGAATATTTAAGAAAAGTTCTCAAAAAAAATAGACAAGACAGAGGAGAGAACGGTATTCAGAGGAGAAAAGGGACAGAAAACATACAATGGGAAATTTGAATGGGTGAAAATAATACAAGAAGGAAAAAGAAAAATAGAGACTAATCACGGCGCAGATGAGTGAGTGCAAAAAAGATGAGCCAAAGAATGAGACAGAGAGGAAGTATCAGAGATACACAGAGGCAAGGACAGTAAGGGGAAAAGCTCAGAAGCTTGGGTTGAACATGTGTATTAACTCTGATGTTCATGAATACCACAGAGAGCGCTGCGAGTGTTTTCATTCCTTTTTTAAAGAATTCAGTTTGTTTTCCTATGGAATTTGTCTATGATAAAGACACTTTTACTTGAAATTTTACCTGTAAATTTTCTATTGTTCATGACTATATTGGCATTGTCTTAAAGTTTATTCCATATTCAAACGTTGCTATATCTTTATTATCATGGAGCTTAAAATAAAATTTCTCAAGAAATATTGCTGATATTGAGAGCATTGTATTCTCCATCAGTATTTTGTCTGATTGCTTGTTTTTCACAGAATATTTAATTCTGAGTGTTGGGGACATAAAAAGGAAAGCTCCAAAAAATGACACCGTGACTGGATCCTGAGACAAACTATTTAAAGAACAAAGGGCAATAATTCCACCTGTTAAGTAAATTTTTATACAATTGGTTTATTCCATTCAAACCCAATTCACAATATAATAAAAAATCCTCCAAGTCAACTTATATGCATACTTTAAAAGATTATAAATGTCAAAAAAGCTAGGGGAAGTATATTTGCTGCATATTTTCTGAGATGTGTATTTATGAATTAGTATTACTACTATTTATAAATAAAATACTCAATAAAATATATTTCTGTGCACTAATTCTATATATTTATTTATTTGCCTATGTTTAATATAATTAATGAACTTATTGCCATAGGTAGTGATGATATAGAGAAGTTAATATTTAATTAACAGATCTTAAAAATTTTAAACAGAAATGTGACTACACAGAATAAACCTTTATATCAGAATGATCAGAAAGATTTCTTATAAAAGAATAGAAATGAATTGAAGCTATAAATCCAGTTTTAAAACATTTAATGTTCTAGTTAAAGAGAATTTATATTACAAAGTCATTAGAGTTGAGTTTAAAAGATAATATATTAGGGTTTAAAATTTCATTTTTGAGTTATTTTCTTATCTAGGTTTTAGATGATTTTAGAAATAGATTTTAGCTACTTTGCTTACCTAGATAACCATATAGAAAGATGATTCACTTCTTTTGTTCCATTTGCTCCTGGCAATTTTGGTATGCTGTAAACCAAATACAAAATTATTATAAATTAATAGCATTTTAGACTTTCATTAAAAATGACAATATGATAAAATAATTTCTCTCTTACCATTATTATAAGAAATTACAGTAATCCTTCAAAAGTGTTAAGCTTTCTAACACATAGAAAAATACATAATAGGACACAAATGACAATAACACAGGTAGGAATTCTTTGCACACTGATTCATTTTGGAGGCTTCATTTTTAAACTTAGGAAAATGTTGTTTATATAAATTTGCTTTCAACACAAGGGTTTACCAATCGTATCTCTTCATTTTTGCCAGGAGATGATGGTGTGAAGAACTGTAATTCCTCTAAGAACACCTTAGGATTCCCTATAGGATATTTTTAACTGGGCATTGTGGATTTAGGT